AAACGAGTTCAGCCAAAGAAAAGTGTTTAAAAATCAATGATGTGCTAGGGAACAAAATTTGGCTTTATAATTGAAATAAATTTTCTTTTTAAATTTTTTAACAAATACCTTGTCACCACATGACTTACGGCTAAATTTCAAAACTAGCTAATTTAACATTAACTAAAAGGACAAAAGCTTACAAGCTCCAAGCTAAGCTGAACTCTCATCCTGAATTCCTGAACAACTGATGACCATCAGGTCCCTCCACTCTAGGGACCTCAGCTGACCTGGAGACCATCCTGAACACCACGCGCTTCAATGCTCTCACTGAGAGGAACGCAAGTCATTACTTCAAGTTTGATAAGACTTATCTAGACGCCAAGAGTATGGAAACTCTTATGACAGTCCAGACACATAATAAATTACAAAATGCTGAAGTTCCTTGATGGATCTTTGAATTTTCATGGCATTATCAACCTAAAAAGTTAACCTGTACTTTACTGGACAGTTTTCTCACAAACAAAAACTGTAAAGTTTCATGAAACTTAACCACAAAACACAAACCTTCACTATGTGAAGGTTAGACTGCATATCCATACAGTATGACACAAAAATATTGCCAAGTTGGAGCTAATAAGTATCAGCAAAAATAATCTACTAAAGCCAAATACACTGAGCATTCCTTTAACACAGGCATACACGTGCTCCCGCCCCCCAAAGCAGCCTCTGCGGCCCGTGAGCAAAAGGACGTCATTTTTACTATCCATACTGTAACCTGCATGGAATTCCACCCAAGTTCAGCCTGTATGATGCCAAACATCGCTTCTAAAAAAATCCAGTCGGTGGCTTAATTCCCAAAGAAACAACTTGACCATAAAGGTCTTTAAGCTTGGAAGACGCCCCCCCTCGCCCAACAACCCAAGAGGTGTAACTTCACCAAGTGTTTCTAAAAATCACAAATAGTCCCTAACTGCTATAATAAAGCAATTACTCCTCCCACCCAAGCAAATAATATAAGTGCTCCAAAGGCAGTACGTCTGTTTTCACCAATTTTATGAAATGAGAACAGGTCACACTTCCGTACCCCCCTCCCCCCGCCCAGCGGTCTCCCCAGCCTTCAGCACAGAGGTAAATATAACCTCCACCAACTGGCCGCTGAAACTCATCTCTCAGGAGCAGGGGACGCATCGGGAGAAAATGGAGAAGAGCAAGGGGCTGATATCCCGCCCCAAGCAGAACTGCCCCGGACACTCGCGGGGTGCTGGAGCCGGCAGCCGGGGAGGCGCGGAGCGCCGCAGAAGTCTTCGCTCTCCCGGGCTGGGCGGAGGGAGGATCCTCACCCGGAACCGGGGACGGGGACAGGGACGGGGACCGGGACCGGGACCGGGACTGGGACCGGGACCGCACTCCTCCGCCAGACACAATGGGCCGGCCGCAGGCGGGCCGTTGCCCCCCCCCACCCAACGCCCCCCGCGCCCGCACGGCCGGGCGGGGGCCCGGAGCCGCTCCCGCGCCCCACACTCCCGGGCTCCGACTAGGCCCGGCTCCGCTCCGCCTCCTCGGCTCTCGCGTAGCGGCGGCAGCCGGGCGGGAAGGGGCGAAGGAGGAAGGAAAAGGCGGGCCAGAGGCCGCGGGCCGCGCTCGGGGCGGCGGGGTCGCCGCGGGGCGAAGGGCGAGCGGGCC